CCAGAGCTCTACCTAAGAGGTGCCATCCTGCCTCCAGGAAACAAAGGCTGGTCTCCACCCGTGACCCTTCCTAGGTCACACTGCTCTCCCCCAGGTGGCTGGTGGGACTGCCTTGATGGCCATAAGAAGTGACCTCACCTTCAGGTCATCCCACTTTTCCTTTCAGAGAGGAGCAATTAAAATTAAAAAGAAGGAAGAAACCTCTTCAACACTCCTTTATACAGTGTCCCCTCCACAAGTAGCACAAATGAGACGATTAAAAGTGTCCTCCTCGAATCTCCTCCTCTCTGTCCAGGCTGCTGCCCGGAGCTGAGACCCACACGGGCATTCTGGCTGCTGGCCTGGCAGGGACCTGCCTGTGGGACAGCACTGCTCCAGAGCGCGGGGCTTCCTGGGCAGAGGGGGTGATGGTTCATGGGCAGACCGGCCCAGAAGGCACCGTCCTGTCACAGTGATGCTGGTTCTCCCCTCCAAGCCTCAGCTCCCCAGTCCTTGGGCCCAGTTGCTCTGGAGGGAGTGCTGTGAGAATCTATCTGGTCTGCACGCTCGTTGGTTTGCACATTTTTCCAACCATCCCTTCTCTTATTTTTACACACATTTCTGGAGTACAGCCAAGCAGGTGCTGTGCTGGACAGTGGGAAAATGGGTGAATTCCAGGGACTCTCTGCTTCGCAAGGGAATTCGTGAAAGCGCAAAGGAATTGGTTTGTGGTTGGGAGGAGAGAGATGCTTGAGAGCCATAAACCTGGGTTCAGAGCCCAGTGTAGGCCAAAGGTGGGCCTGGGCTTCTCAAGTCAATGCTGACCTTTAACTTTCTGATCCACTTGAAGGAGAGGATAATGATATGCCCCCAGGACTTTGTGGGTGGGAATGGGTGTAACAGTCATGTGGAGCGAGTCAGTCATTCAGCATTTGCGTCCTGAGACACGGCAGTGAGCAGAGAGCGTGAGGAAGTGCCTTCCTTGCACTTCTGTTCTGGGCGTCTAGAACCTTGCGAGTGAACACGTAGAACTACATGGGGAGGGTTGCTCTGGGGCAGAGTAAGGGTGGAATGGAGTCAGGCTGAGCTTGATGGGCGTGAGGAGGCACGGCCCTGCCAGACCACACCCTAGTCCCCCACCAAGCGCTGTGATCTGTCTCCAACACCGTCTCCTCCCATTGCCTCGGCTGCCCCTCCACTGCCCAGACCCCCCACTCTGACCCCCTGCTCTTCAGACTCCTCAGACCCCAGAGACCTGCTCTCTTCTCTTCGGTGTCTGGGAAGCCGTTGCAGCTTCTCTGGACTCTTCCTCCCTTCTGAGTCCGGTGAAGAGCACTGGGTGTCTTCTGGGAAGGCAGACCCAGCACTCATTTGTGTCTAGCACAGTCATTAGCATGTGCCTGTAGGCTGCTTTCTGTACGTATACGTATTTATTTATAAGGACGTATTCGCAGAGTCACGTGGGATTCACGTGGGGGTCATTAAAAAAAAAAATCAGGATGCCCTTTCCAGACAGGAAATTTTTCTTTCTTTTTTTTTTTTTTAAAAGATGACCGGTAAGGGGATCTCAACCCTTGGCTTGGTGTTGTCAGCACCACGCTCAGCCAGTGAGCAAACCGGCCATCCCTATATAGGATCCGAACCCGCGGCCTTGGTGTTATCAGCACCGCACTCTACCGAGTGAGCCACGAGCCGGCCCCCAGACAGGAAATTTCTGCCCGTCATTCCCGTTCCCAATCTTGGCACGGGAACTTTTCCTGTCAAGTGAGTCCACTAATGAGAGTAGGTGAGTTGGTGTCATCCATCCTGGCAAAATGCTCCGATGCCCACAGGACAAGGCTGGCACACAGGCAGATGCAGTGTGGGGGCTGGGGGAAGGAGGGCAGGAGAAGGGATTGTACACAGGAGAGGAGCCAGCTGGGCACAAATAGAGCCGGACTTGGCAGGGCGGGCAAAGCAAGGGTGGGTGGCTTGGGGTCTGGGAAGGGAGGCAGTCGGTGCAGCTGGGGACGCCCCATGCTCAGGCACTTGTAAACCAGGTGCTCCTCCCCTCCTTTCCCCTCTGTCTCCTCAGTGGAGGTGTCTTCCTAGTCACCTGTGGACTGGTTACTTGAGGAGACCGCTGCTGTGGGATGTTCCAGCTCCTCGCTCACACTTGGTTGTTCTCTCCAGGCAGGCCTGGGAGGGAGGTTCGGGCTCCATGGGGGTTGCCCAGGTATAGACAGCGGATCCTGAGGCTCACTCATCCCTTCCCTCTTGGAAGGAGGACTGTCGTGGGCCTCTCACCCAGAGAGCACTGAGAGTAGAGAATGTCAGCTGCTTAGAGGAGCAAGGTAGCAGGTACGTCCCCGAGATTGAGGGAGCAAGCCCTATAAATCCTCAGCCTGTAACCTGGGGTGGGTGCGTGGGGTGGGAGACAGAGCCTAGAGTGACGAGTGAAGGCTGAGCTCAATGGTTGGAGACCCACAGGAGAAGAGTGAAAGGCAAGATCAATTCAAGCAATTTGATTCAGAGCATCAAATACAAGATTAAGCATAAGGAACGGCCCCACCTTTCAGGAAGCCAGTCTTCCTGGGAGCTGACTTATGACTAAACGATAGAAGGGCCCTCAAGGCTGGTCAGGGGCTTTTCACAGTGGGCTGAAACTTCACAGTCCTGAGGCATCGTTCTGCACGGACAGGTTCTTGTTCCACTGAGAGTGGGGAATGTGGAGGCTGGGATGGGGTGGAGTAACAACCCAGAAAGGGATCCTATTTCTGAGGGACTTTTAGAAAGAGATTATATATATATATATATTGGTGAAGGGGTGGGCAGTTGGCCAGTACAGGGATTGAACCCTGGACCTTGGTGTTCTCAGCACCACACTCCAACCAACTGAGCTAACTGGCCAGCCCTAAAAGGCTGCTTGTCAGATGAATAAGACACTGAAATGCATACTGGTCCTGCCTCATTTCTCTCAGGTGCCCACAGAAAGAAAGCGAAGCACAAAGTGGTGTTTTCTGGTGACCTTAAGCAATAGGTGGACCCTACCTGAGCTCGGTCTGAGAGCTCTGAGGGTTACCATTTATGGAGTGTCTATGGTGGGCGAAGGCTGGCCATAAATCGCCTCAGTTAACCCCAGCTCCCCGCTGAGCTGGGCACAGGTTCATCCAGTCCGCTGTAGGAGTCCAGGCAGGGGTGAGCCCAGGTCCGTGGGTCCTCCATTCAGCCCCGTGCTCCTGCTGCCGGGCGTGGAGGACTCGACCCCATGACTTTGTCATGTGTGCCGGGTGGGTCCGCATTCCAGGTCAGGCCCTCTCCTTCTCCTGCCTGAGTGTGGCAGGACCTCAGTTTGAGGTCTGGAGCCCTGACAAGGATAAGCCTTGGTGGGAAGGGAGGCTGGCACTGGGGACATTCTCTCCATGTTGGAGGGAGATGTCCCTACAGCAGGGACAGGGTGGGGAGCCATTGACCGAAAGACGGGTAGTCCCTCACCAGCTGTGGGCCATTAGGCCAGCCTCTGGCTTTGGTTCCCTCTCTGTGAGACTGTGACACAGCAGGCTTGGGAGGTTGGGTGAGCAGGGGTGGGAAGGGCTTGGTTAACTGCACGAGGAAGGCGCTGCCATTCCTGGGCAGCTGGAAATCACCCGTGATTATGAGCTGGGAGCATATGTGTGTGTTTTTAACACCCTTGTTCCCCTGAATATTTCACTACAGCGTACAAGCACACACACATCCTTCAAGATAGAGACTTGTGAGTGAAAAAGCGGGGCGAAGGGAAAATAGGGAAGGATGTGGTGAAGCCAGGGGTGTGTTTAATACATGCCCTATGGGCTCGTGTGCATAACCCTGCACCTCCTCCAAGCCCGCCAGCACCAACAGGGAGACAGGTTACCATTTACCAGCTTTACAAAGACCATTGGATCCAAACAAGCCAGTTGTCTGAGGAAGCAAGGCCACTTGAGAGCCACGTGAGCTGTGGTCTGCGTGCAGAGAATGGGGACTCAGGCTTTGCAGAAAAGTACCCAGCGTGGCTCCTCAGCTGCATCTGATAAGAGCCCATCCAGAGTGTCAGTGTGGCCGGTGCACAGGGCAGTTCTGAGTAGAGGCAGTGTGGTCCTAGGCGGACGTGGCCACCACATCCCCTGCAGCCCAACCTGCAGTGCCCTTCCCCCCGGGAACCTCCCCCTCCCCATGCAGCAGGTGGCCTGCTCCCTCTGTGAGGCCTGGGCTAAGTTTAGTGGAGAGGCCCCTTACTGCTTCCACCAGGTCTGAGCTGCACAACTGTGAACTGCTTGCAAGGAAACAAGAACCAGCCTTGTGAGCGAGCCTTGTGAACAGTGCAGGTCCCCAAGACAGGAACCTCGGAAAGTGGAAATAAGGCAGGCGGTGGCCTTCCTCCCCTGGGTGCCTGCTTCTCCTGAGAGCTGCTGCATTCTCCTGGCCCCTAGTCTCTGTCTGCTTGGATCCCACACACTCTGGTTTATGTGTGGTTTTTGGCTTGTCGCTGCTTTCACAATGTTTTGAGGCATTTCTGCCTTCTGCTCTTGCTGCCAGTTGCCTCGGTCCCTCCGTTCTCTGATACAAATTCCCAGAAAAAGGATCTCATTTGGCTAGCTCATCCCTTCATCCCTTTCAGCTAAGGCACATGGGCTGCCTTCAGCCAACAGATGGGCGTCACTGGGGCAGGTGCTTCCCATGCACGTTTGTGATTCTGGGGTCAGATGGCATACATGGTGCACTCCTTACCCCCAGCAGGGCTGTGGGGGGCAGTGTCCATTTGCAGTGGTCATAGATGTGGCAGGCACTCCTAACTTGTCTAAGACACTAGACATGTGCTTCCAGGGACTGGCAGCCCGTCCCTAACCTGCATTTGCTTTGGGCATTTCCAGGGTAGATGTGGATTTGCAGTTACCCCCCCGCCTGGCTCTCCCCCTAATGCACATAATGGGACTGTGAAGGCAGACACTCCCGGGGGGCTACTGCACAGCTTCCCTCTGTGGATGATGGATGACGATAGATGCTCTGACCACCCCCAACCTATGGAATTTCTCAACGTCTATTTGGGAGACAACCTGCAGCCCCAGCCAAGAGTATGGCTGCAGGAAACGTGCAGCCATCCAGACCCTCCTGAACCTTGTAGGAAACAAATCTGGGTCTTTGACCCTCCTGAATCCACCAAGCAAGATGCTCCTCTCCAAGGCTCTGGTGTGGAGCCTACATTCCTGGAAGAGTATGGCTGCAGGAAACGTGCAGCCATCCAGACCCTCCTGAACCTTGTAGGAAACAAACCTGGGTCTTTGACCCTCCTGAATCCACCAAGCAAGATGCTCCTCTCCAAGGCTCTGGTGTGGAGCCCACATTCCTGAGGAGCTGCTCTCCCCAGGGGGAGAACAGGCAGAGAGCAGCATCACCAGGATGGCCTGGGGACAGTCGTCCTCTGGGGAGCCCACAGCAGAACCAGAGCTCATCTGCACAGGTGGCGTTCTGGGCGGGCATCCTGCAGGCCCAGATGTGCGTCCTTGACCTGGAGGAGGAGCTGGAGAAGACGGAAGGGCTCAGGGCTGGGCTGAGATGTTGTCTCCCTACAGTCCCTGCAGACCTCCCTGGAGATGCGGGCCTGCACCCCAGTCCACCCATGGAGGACTCAGGGGAAGACAGCAGCGGGCCTGAGGGGGAGAACCAGGCGTGGCCAAGGGAGGGAACACCAGGCTCTTCCCTGGAGTGGGGTGCCGAGGAGGAGAGTGTGTTCTTCAACAACCCCCTCTTCCTGGAGAGCCCTTGCTCAGAGGCCACTGCTTCCAGAGACTGCCTTTACTGGGGGATTCCAGACTCCCAGAAAGATGTGAAGACAGAATCCGAAAGCCCGCGGACCCTGGAGCCTCCACTCCCAGGAGGCACAGTGCTGTGGGAGCTGGGAAGTGAGCCAGATTTGGGGGACCACATCACTGATTCCAGTGGACAGAACACCCCTCCATTCCCCGTGCCCACCTACAAACCACATTCCTTCTGCTGGACCTCAGCGGATGTCAGCGAGGGGGCTCCCGCAGCACCTCCTGGCCAGGGGGAGGATGAGGTAAGCCCAGTTCTGGAACCAACCCCAGACTGTGCTGGGGACACAGAAGGGAGGGTCTTCCTCTGGGGTCACCAGGTCCAGCACTCTTTCCTGATGCTAGGGCCTTTTGGGATCTGGGGTAGTACAGCAGGAAACCAGGACCAGTGTGGCTTCAGAATTATAGGACATTGTATTGATGTCATGATGTCAACTGAACATGATAGCAATTAAGTCCACAAATGTCTCCATCTCACCAGCTCCAGGGGGCTATGTCCAGATACGTTTGGAGAACAAACAGCTCCTCCAATTGCAGCATGTTCCAGGCCATTCTCAGACTCTTCTCCTCCCACCTCTAAGACATTCCCAACCGTAACTGGGCAGGGATCAGCCTGCAAGGGTGACCTCTGCCCCTAACAGATAAAGGTTGATTTTAGGAGTCCTGTCTGCGCTTGAGCTATTCCAGCACTTGTTACTTTTTGCTCAGCATTTTGCATTCTCCCCACGTCCAGTGTCGATAGAGGAGGCCCAAATGACAATGGCGAGAACCCTGATATCAACGAGGGATGGGAACAAGTTATGTGAGATGACAGGGAGCACAGTTTTCCCAGGGAGGCCTCTGCATAAGAGATAAGGAGACTCAGGACGGCAGAGGCAGGCTGTGACCTCCTAATCTCAATTCCCAGAGGACAGTGGAGAAGAGCCATTAACCAGAGCAGCTCTCTCACCTGAACCCTGAGATCAGAGGAGCTTCCAAGTACTGATCAGAGTCCCTCCACCCACTGGCGGGGCACAGTGTGGGGCGGTCATAGCTCTGTCCTTCGGAGGTGCATTCTGTCAGGACCACCTTGCTCAGAGGCACTAAGCCCTCAGAGGCCTGGGAGCTATTGCACATTGAAGCTGAGAGCTGGCTCCTGCTCTGGGATGGCAGAGCCCACTCAGCTCAGTGCCTGAGAGCTATCGTCCTCCCTAAAATACAACCCCTCTTATCTGGGCAGAAGTGGGGGAGGGGGCTCATGGGTGGGGGAAAGGCCCTGGAAGCAATTTCCTTCTGGTGAAAACTCTCCTTTCTCTCTCTCTCTCTCTCTTTCTCTCTGTGTGTCTCAGACTTCTCTGGGAGACACGCATAGCCCTGCCCCACCTGCAGCACCCTCTGGGGACAAAGCAATGACTTGGGACACAGGACATGTTGGATCTGACCTTAGCCCTGCCACACATCCTGTTCAACCTTGGGCAAGTCACTTCCCCCCTCTGGGTCTCACCTTCTGCACCTGTGAAGGAGGAACTTGAACCTATCGATTTCCAGGGCCTAGCACCCACACTTCCGGAATGTGGGTCTTCTCCCATCCAGGACTCCTCTTCTGAACTGAGGGTCCAGCTTGTGGCCCACGTAGCGTAGGTGGGAGGAGGTGGGGAGGGAGAGGCTTCTGTATATACCCATGGCATTCTTCCCCTCCCTCCTTGCCCCTCTCCCAGCCTGGCCTCCCCTTTCAACTCTCAGTATCTCCAGGGCTAGTGGAAACACCTGTCTCTCTCTCAACAGGCTCCACCCAGCCCCAAGCGCTGGCAGACAGAAGAGGGTTCTTCCTGGCCCCAGGTGCTCCTTATGTCCCAGGACAGAGGTGAGACCCAATATGGGGGTCTGGGAAATTGGGTGGTGGGAGGCTTTGGGATACAGAGCAGGGACAAAGGTCATTCTTGAATTCATGGGTGTCATTAAGGGGTCCCATTGTATTGTATTGGAGTCAGACAGACTTGGGGTTAAATTCTGCCTCTGCCTCTATGACTTCATCAGTCAGGTGGGTTTTTAGACACAGAGTAAATGAAGGGATGTAGGAAAGACGCAGCCCTTTTGATACCTGGGTCTTAGGAGTTCAGCAAAAGCCCTGAGCCCACAGTTGCCTGGGGCTGAAGTCCTGGGAGCCTGCCTGCTGCCTCAGGCGTGTGGGAGAGGTCACTGCCTGAGAGAGGGACTGGGCGTGCTGCCCAGCTCCAGGGGAGGAGCCCCTGGGAGGGAGCCTCTGGGGGTGGCAGCCCAGCGTGTTCCCCTGCCTCCTGCCTAGACCCGCCTTACTCTCTGCTCTTCCTCAGGTGAGAGCGATGCTGGGTGTCCCCAGGAATTTGCTCCCCACACCTTGGTCCCCGGCCCCTGGGGGAGCCCAGCTTCTTCGCCAGAGCCTAGCAGCCCAGAGTCTGAGAGCAGAGGCCCTGGTCCCAGGCCCAGCCCTGTGTCCTCCCAGGAGGGCAGCCCGCAGCTCCGGCGCCACAGCTCGGGCATTTTTCCCAAGTGGACACTAGATGCTTTACACTCTTCACTCTTGGAGATGGATGGGACAGAGCCAAGTTCCCTAGAGAAAGAGGAGGCGGGAGAGGCCCCAAACCCAGGGGACGAAGTAAAGCACGAAGGCACAGTCAGGCCGGCGGAGGCTGCAGGCGGCCAGCCCAACGCTCACTTGACTACCACAGAAGGGTGAGTCTCAGACCAGCTGGCTCTCTGGCTCCTGGTTACGGTTGCATTTGAGAATGCCCTTGTCTGGAAGGATCATGAGTAATGCACGTTGGTTTTAACATGCTAATATTTACTAAGCAAGGATTCTGTGACTGGGCACCAGTAGAGTTTTGAGAAAGAGAGGAGGGTATAAAAGCACAAGAAACTAAAGAACAGTCCTCCACGTGGGGGCAGAGTTGGGGTGTGTTGAGGCAGGGACACCAGAGAAGTGTCCATGGCTGGACTCCAGGAGAGGAGGAAAGGGATGAGGTGTTCAGGGAGCCTGACCGGGGGGAGCATGCCCAGAAAAACGGGAGTGTGCTAGACAGGCTTGGGGAGTGGACCAGAGCTAGTGATGTGACAGCTTTGAATTTGAGGAGGTGTCTGTCTGGGGGAGATTCACCAAAGAGCCTAGGCCCAGGCTGCTGGCTCAAATCTCACCATGGGGAGGTTCGATGGACTGTGGCCAGAGGTTAGAATAGGCCAACTGGGAAACGAACCCAGGTGTCCACCTGCCCCAGGAGGCTGCATCAAGACTCAGCCCCTGGGATCTCTACATGGAAAAGGGGTTTTGTTCTCTGGTTGGCTGAATAGGGACCCCATTGAAGGGACTAGGAGGAACCAGAGATGGTTCAAGTCATGGACCTAAAGGAGCAGCAGCTGGAGGGTTAACCTCATTCCTATCTCAGTGTACTTGGGGGGTGGCCACAGAGTGCCAGTGAGTGCCAGAAACCAGAGAACCGTCTTCCTTATGCACCTGGAAACTACGCTGCTCTGCAGATGTTCAGAGGCTTGGTAACCAGAGAAGTCTCAGTAGCTAAAAAGGGAGGGCTTATTATACCCCAAAATTAAAGTTAACCCAACGCAAAACACAAGTAAGTAAAGCCACCTAAAATAGGAATCATACTTTCATAGTAAATCATGAAGAAAGGTTTAATGGGGGCTTTATCTTGGTAAATTACACTAAATATTATTATTTGACTTCATCTTATGTATAACACAATGTAGGGAGTTTAATTTTCCTGGCACAAGTTTGTTGGCCCAATGAGATGTCTTTCATTCATGCCTGACTTTCACAGTGAGATCATAAAGGTCATTTTTAAAAAATATAGCTTTATTTCTATTTTCGGTGGCTGGCTGTTACGGGGATCCAAAGCCTTGACCTTGGTGTGACAAGGCCGTGCTCTAACCAGCTGAGCTAACTGGCCAGCCAAAGTATGGCTTTGAGATATAATTCATATACCCTACAGTCACCCATTTAAAGTGTACAATTCCATGACAATTTTTATTTGCATTATGTTTTTTTTCCAAAGTGCTTCCCCATCTAGATATTATTTTAGTAACCATGCTAATTGACTAGGTCATTTCTTAAAAATGTATTTTAGGGAGCCATCAGTTGAATATCCAAATAATTCTCTGTATGTGGCAATTGTGTCATTTTTATTTCACTGATATTATTTTAGTAACCATGCTAATTGACTAGGTCATTTCTTAAAAATGTATTTTAGGGAGCTATCAGTTGAATATCCAAATAATTCTCTGTATGTGGCAATTGTGTCATTTTTATTTCCTCCGACTAACTCTGCCAGTTCCTCGTTTGTCAGTGGCTTTCCACGTGATTCCTGGAGTCTTCCAGCGTCACTTTCACGGACTTCATGATATCTTATGTTTTTTTGCAAGATTTGTAATTTCACTTTTCAGTTAGTTTCCTTTACATTTATTCTGCATTGTGGGGTAATTACGAGCCTCAGGAAGCAGTGAGAAGTTACCAACAAAGACACTGATCCATTCGTCTTAAGTGGAGAGAGCGGTGGAGTGAAGCCTAATGTTATAAGTGGTCAGTTTATCAGTGAATATTTTCATATTCGCGTGACTTTTGCTTACCTGTACGACTCCCTAACTGCGGTTAACTTGGGTCATGAATATTATATAACTAGGATACCCCCACACCTGGTGGCAATGTTGCAGGGGAAACAAGGGCAGGGAGAGGTTAGGCGGAGTGACTTTTCTGGAGTCCCAGTGGTAGGCTCTGAGTGTTCTCTGAGTCTCTTGGGTGTTGCCTGGGCCTGTTTACCCTCGTCATAACCAACCTGAATGGCCTGCGGGACGGCGGGAACTTCCCCAAGGAGCTGCTGAAGGTAGCTTCCCACCGGGGTCAGGACCCTGGGGCTTGCCATTTGGGGGTCTTGGAGCTTGGGTTCCTTGGCCCAAGGGGAATGCTGAGCTTGGACCAGGCTCTGGCACAATATCCTTGAGAGCACAGCGCTTGTTTATTGAAGGGCTACTAAAAGTGTGGTCCCTGGCCGGCGGCGTCTGCAGCATATTGGAATTCGTTAGCTGTGCAGATTCACAGGCCTCTGCCCTGGACCTGCTCAGTCACACTCTTGCTCTGGCACAATATCCTTGAGAGCACAGCGCTTGTTTATTGAAGGGCTACTAAAAGTGTGGCCCCTGGCCGGCGGCATCTGCAGCATATCGGAATTCGTTAGCTGTGCAGATTCACAGGCCTCTGCCCTGGACCTGCTCAGTCACACTCTTTGGGGCTGGGGCTCTAAGATGTTTTATTAGGTTTGGAGGTGATTCGTACCCCTTCGAAGTCTGAGAAGCACTGGTTTATTGGGTCTCTGAATGGACAAAGCGCAAAGTTTCACATGGCAAAAGTCTAGAGCTGATTTGGGAGCCTAGTGTTCCTGGGTTTGAATTCTAGTCTTGGGCAATTTACCTCTTGGTCAACTCAAGTGCCTCCTGAGGGTAATAACCACCTTACAATGTCATTATCAAGATGAAATAAAATTTGTCAAATGCTCAGCACAGTGCAGGGCACACAGCATCCGTTTCATAAGCAATTAGATCACGTGCTTTTTCATCTACTTAGTGAACATTTGTTGAACACCTGCTCATGCCAGACACCTTGCGAGGCACTGCGAAGGCTACAAAAGCAAGCAAGAGGCATCTACATCAGTACAATTTGTTATTGCAGCGGGCCCTCCGTATTCACAGGTTTTGCATCCACGGGTCCAGCCAACCATGGTGGAAAACATTTGGGGGAAAAAAACCCAATAAAAAATAATAGTATAATAAAAAAATACACATTTAAAAAATACAGTATAATTATTTACATAGTATTTACATTGAATTAGATATTATAAGTAATCTAGAGATGATTTACAGTATATGGGATGATGTGTATAGGTTATATGCAAACACTAGGATGTTTTATACAAGGACTTGACCATCTGTGGATTTTGGTATCTGAGGGGGGTCCTGGAACCAACCCCCTGAGGATGCCAAGGGATGACTGTATTTCAAAGTCCTAGTACAACACTCACGCACTCATTCACTTACCACACATTTATTTTGGGGGTCGGTCAGCCAGTTCCTTCTCCATCAGATCCCTCGACAGGATAGTAGGTGGATGATGTGTTTCCCCTTCAAGAGAACTAGTTCACACCCCACTAAGCTGGGGCAGGGCAGGGACTAGGCTGCCTTGATCGTCTTTGTGTCTCCAACACCAAGCACAGTGCCTGGCCCATGGGGAATGCTCCATAAGTAATTTGTTGCATGGATAGATGGATGAACGGATGAGTGGATGGAGGGATGGAAGGATGGATGGGGGATAAGTGGGTGGGTGGATGCTTGCCTGCTCAAGGAGGAAGGGCAGCTATGTTGGGTGGGGAAAACACAGGCTGTACACACGCCCCTATCCGGCCTCTGCCAGGCAGAGTGAGTTTAGGCCCCATAGCCCGGAGGCTTCCCTGCCCACCTGTGTGCTTCATTCCAGGCCCTCTACTGGTCTATCCGAAGTGAGAAGCTCGAGTGGGCCGTGTAAGTGAGAGCCCCCTTTCCCCTTACCTCCCAGCTCCTCACCTGTCTCTGGGCCTGTCCTCCCTCTGTCACACTCCCAAGAGTGTGACAAGTTGGGGCCCTGCAGAGGCAGGATGCCGGGCTGGTCTATGAGAGAGTAGAAGAGCCCAGGTCGTACTGGAGGAGCCAGGGCTGTGGAGGGTGGGGGAACAGTGTTTCCAGGAATTGATGGGTTGGCTTTGAAGGAGGACTCCTTTTGGAGAGTCCCGGGCCGTGGCTCCCCAGCAAGAGAGAGATGCTGAGTCCCTGGGAGGCAATGGGTACCTCCTGGTGGTCTTTGCCCAGCCAGTTCTCCCAGCCTGATTCTCTGATGTCCAGGGATGAAGTAGACGCAGCCAGACCTGAGAAGGCCCGGCCCTCTCCCGCAGCTGGCAAGATGAGCAACCCCTTCCTTCAGCTGGCTCAGGACCCCATGGTGCCCACCTACAAGCAAGGCATTCTGGCTCGGAAGATGCATCAGGATGCAGATGGCAAGAAGAGTGAGTGTCTCCTACCTGTGAACCGGGCCGTGAGCTCGGGGCGGCTCTGCTCAGGGGCGGTGCCGACGTGTGTGCCGGTGTGCACAGAGGCAGCCCGTGTCCGGGACAGGCAGCCCGTGTTCTCTCCTCAACACATCCTGCGTGGAGAACGGGGACTGTGTGAGGTGCTGGGGCGGGTACTGGGATGAGAGAGGCCAGTTATTCCTGCATCCCAGAGCCCCTGGGGTAAGGCAGAGATGAGACAAAACATCAAAGTCTGGGATAAAAGGAAGGGAGCAGAGTGCGTAGGGGGCTGCATCAAGTACGGGGATGTGAAGGAGGGAAAGGATTTGTTTTCTGGGGTGGGCTGTAGGGACAGGATAGGTAAGACTTCTGGGAGATGATAATATCTGAGCTGAACCTCAGAGGATAAGAGGGTCTGGATTTTTGATTTGTTTTCTGGGGTGGGCTGTAGGGACAGGATAGGTAAGACTTCTGGGAGATGATAATATATCTGAGCTGAACCTCAGAGGATAAGAGGGTCTGGATTTTTGAAGTCAGGAATAGGGCATCCCTCACAGAGAAAAGCAAGCAGAATTTGTCAGAACGTGGGGTGTGTTGAAAGGGAGTGGCCAGAGATGCAATGGGGACAGATGGCCGGAGTCCACGTGTGGGCCTGGATCCCAGGCAGCTGAAGGCTTTGAGTAGCAACATCACCAGAGCAGTGATTTCGGCAGACTAACCTAGAATCACAGGTTGAGTGAAGTGCGGTGACCAGGAAGGGCACTAGCATAGGCTGTGAGAAGCCACAGGGGCCTGTGCAGAGCCCCGGTGGGGTGACCACAGGGATTCGGGCCTTCTTTTTCCCAAGGAGCTTAGAACATGTCTGGCTACACAAGATTAGGGTGGGGAGGTAGGGAAGAAGGAGGGAAAGGTGGCAGTTGTGCTCAGAGCAGGTGCACAGGGAAGGACACTCCAAGCTGGGACCCAAGCCCCTGTGCCCCTCTGGATGGGAAAACAATGTTGAAATCATCTTTAAGGGACCAGAAAGATGTCTGAGCGCAACTGTGTTTATGGCTGGTGGGTTTGCAGGTGGGGGTGATGGGACGGTCTTTAAGGACACCTACCTTTGTATGTAGATAATTCCCTGCCCCTCCTCCCCCAGCATGTGTAAAGAGACTTGTATGTTTGTTTGTGACTGTGTGTATTTCTTGTGTTGGCATGCTGGTGAGGGACTGGAGGTGTGAGGGACGGTGGGGGGTGTGTGTGTGTGCACACTTTGTGTCTGGATGCGGGTGCTGCCACCCACCTTTGTGTCTGGTCCTGGAATAGCGCCGTGGGGCAAGCGTGGCTGGAAGATGTTCCACACCTTACTGCGAGGGATGGTTCTCTACTTCCTGAAGGTAGGAAGGGAGCCAACACCCTGATGGGCTGACTGGGGTAGGGGCCTGGAACTGTCGGGAGGGAGAGGAGGCAGCTGATGGTAACCTCGTCTCTGAGCCTGTGTCCCCGTGCCCGGTGGCAGGGAGAGGACCACTGCCCAGAGGGAGAGAGTTTGGTGGGGCAGATGGTGGATGAGCCCGTGGGGGTACACCACTCCCTGGCCACCCCGGCCACCCATTACACCAAGAAGCCACACGTCTTCCAGCTGCGGACTGCCGACTGGCGCCTCTACCTCTTCCAGGCACCGTAAGTCCTTGGGGTAGGAGACAAGTGGCAAGGCCTGAACCTCCTAGTTTTCCTCTCCCCTGACCTGGCTGACACCTGCTGGCCCCCGCCCTGGTGGGAAACCTTAGAATGCTGCATGGAAGAGGTGCTAGGGACCCGAGGGTCACAGAGAGTAAGAGGGGCTGGGAGAAGGGGTTCCTGCCCAGCCCCTCCCCTGGCCCACCTAGTCAAGGCATCAGCCTTTTCCTTGTGAGTCTCCATCAAGCCTCCCAGTTCTGAACAGAGAATTCCGGGAAGTCACTAACAATTGCTCATTTTTGGCAATTGATATAAAATCTATTTTCTTCCCAGATTTTCCTCTTTGACAAATAAGAGAAACCACGGGCAGAGGTCAGCCACCCTACTAGTGGCAGGGCTTCTGGCTTTTGGAGGCAAGAGTCGTGAGCGGCCGCACTGCTGTGCAGACCACAGGAGGGGGTGAGGGGTAGGTGACAGGGCCCGTCTCCTTGGGGACCGACACCTCCTCTGCCTACAGCACTGCCAAGGAGATGAGTTCGTGGATCGCGCGCATCAACCTGGCGGCCGCCACGCACTCGGCGCCGCCCTTCCCCGCCGCCGTGGGCTCCCAGCGCCGATTCGTGCGGCCCATCCTGCCCGTGAGCCTGGCCCAGAGCTCCCTGGTATGGCCTCCGGGAAGGGGTGGGGGGTGGGGGTGCACCGGAAGTCTGAGGACGAGCACTGGGGGAGGTGGGTACCTGGCGGACGGGAGGGTTGCACATCTGGGCCCAGGAGCGGGGAGATGGAGCTGCACACCTGGGCCCAGGGGCGGGGAGACGGAGCTGCACACCTGGGCCCGGGAGCGGGGAGACGGAGCTGCACACCTGGGCCCGGGAGCGGGGAGACGGAGCTGCACACCTGGGCCCGGGAGCGGGGAGACGGAGCTGCACACCTGGGCCCGGGAGCGGGGAGACGGAGCTGCACACCTGGGCCCGGGAGCGGGGAGACGGAGCTGCACACCTGGGCCCGGGAGCGGGGAGACGGAGCTGCACACCTGGGCCCGGGAGCGGGGAGACGGAGCTGCACACCTGGGCCCGGGAGCGGGGAGACGGAGCTGCACACCTGGGCCCGGGAGCGGGGAGACGGAGCTGCACACCTGGGCCCGGGAGCGGGGAGACGGAGCTGCACACCTGGGCCCGGGAGCGGGGAGACGGAGCTGCACACCTGGGCCCGGGAGCGGGGAGATGGAGCTGCACACCTGGGCCCAGGGGCGGGGAGACGGAGCTGCACACCTGGGCCCGAAAGGGGTGGGGTGTGGGGAGACTCAGGACCGCCTCCTGCTCCCAGGAGGAGCAGCATCGATCCCACGAGAACTGCCTGGACGCTGCCTCCGACGACCTGCTGGATCTGCAGAGGAGCTTACCGGAGCGGCGGGGCCGCAGCCGCGAGCTGGAGGAGTACCGCTTGCGGAAGGAGTACCTGGAGCACGAGGTGAGGCCCCGCAGCCCGGTCGTCCCCGCCCCTTCGCCCTTCACAGTTCGCCGGCCGGGCCCTCTGCCGCCCTCTCGCGGCTGCCTCCGTCCCTGCAGCCGTCACCTCCCCGCCGCGCCGGGGCAGGAGAAGGGTGCTTGTCAGGACCCCGCTGCTGTGCGGACAGTCTGCAAAATTGCGTGTGCACGGGCGTGCACAAAGTGTGCGTGTCCATGTGCACTCAGTCCCCTTCATTTCTTGTCCTGTGGGCACATCGTGGCTGCTTGTCTGGCAACACTCATAGGGGGCATTTTTATGGGTTTTTTTCTCCTGAAAGTTTATTAGACTTTCACTAAATTGAAGGAAACACTATTTTAGCTGAATTATTCCCCCAACACCTACGTAATAGTAATAGGTAGTATTTATGGAGCCCGTATTCCTCGCATGGATTATCTCATTTAATTATCTAATGACTCTGGAGTAGGTACTATTATCCTCGTTTCACAGATGGAGAAGCTGAGGCACAGACAGACTAAACGACTGGTCCAGACCTGATAAATTTACATGCTGCTCCAGTCATACACGTGCCTCATGTGTGCTCTTAACTAAGAAATGACCATTCTGAGCTCTACGATCCATGTCCAAAAGTTTTATTCCCTATCCCTCCACCCCCATGCACCCCACTTCTGCTTTGGTCTCACATCAGTGTGCATTCTGGAATCCTAACACTGAGAGCCCACTTCAGGGGTCCTGGGTGTCCTGCTTAGGGTGGGGCCCACTGGGCAGGAGGAGTAGTGACGTGCATTGAGGGGATCAGAGACCACCCACAGGCAGAGACCAGGGAGGGGACATCCATATCGCCTCCTCCCTGTGCCACTGGGTCCTCATGCAGCCTGTCTCCCCCTTTCTGGCCTGTTTTCAAGGTCCCTGCCCATCCCTTTGTCTTGTGGGTTGTGTCCATGGCTGTGAGCACCCACTTCCCAGAGACCTTGGGGTGTGGCTGAAAGGACTCAACCTCTTCTCCTACTGACCAGCTAGGACCTTTTGCTAGCCACTGGCCCTCCCTTGGTGTCATCTCTTTTATAAATCAGAGACAATGGTTTATGCCCCAGCCAACCTCCCAAGGCTGGGATGAGGATCCAGTAAGATGCAGGGTTGGAAAGCACTTTGTAGACTGGGAACTATATCCCCAGGATGTTATTACAGAGGCCTGAGGAGTATTAAGTAGATGAGGGCAGTTAGCATCATGCTGTACAGATGCCAATTGCTAAAATGCTATTCAGACTCAGGGCACAGTATAGAGGGGAGCTGCTTGTGTGCAGTGCTGCACAGATCTTGGGTACAGAGGCTTGTTACACATCTTTTAGTGTATGGAGACGTAACATGCTTAGAAATGTTAGTTACAGCACTACATGGTGTTGGTTATTAGTAGAACAGGACTGGGCTGATGTGAGTTGTTATATAACACTATTCAGAGGTGTGCTCTGCAAAGTCTGGTTGCTCTAGCACTGTACAGACACTGCTGTTGGTCCAGCCCTCTTTCTGCAGAGGTCTTTATTGCACAGCTTCCTACATGGGTGAGCTGGAATTGTGGCATCCTTCACGGGTCTAGCCTCCTCTGACCTGCAGCCAGAGGATTGCTCAGGTGGTGGTGCCTGTGTGTTGCAGAAAACCCGCTACGAGACATATGTGCACCTGCTGGTGGCCCGTCTGCACTGCCCCTCTGGCGACCTGGCCCTGTGGGAGGAGCAGCTGGGGAGGGAAGATGGAGGTGCTCAGGAGCCCAAGCCCAGCCTGAAGAAGTCCCACTCAAGCCCATCCCTGCATCAGGATGAGGCCCCCACCACGGCCAAGGTGAAGCGCAACATCTCAGAGCGTAGAACCTACCGGAAGATAATCCCCAAGCGGAACCGCAATCAGCTATGAAACCAGCACCACCTCACAGACACTGGCTCCTGCTCTGGGGTAGACCTGAGGTGAAAGCCTGCAGAGGAGCCTTATTTCAATGGGACAGTGACAAGGGATGAGGCACCATCCCTTCCCTGCTGAAGGACAACCCTCGCTCCTCTGTGGCCTCATTCCCCTGTGGCCTCATTCCCCTGCTCATTGGAGCTTTCCTGATACTGCTGCCCCTGCCCCCACCCCCACGGTGGTCCTTCAGCTGCCCCTGTCTCTGGCCACTCCCGAGGGAAGAGGGAGGTCGAAGACGTGGCTTTACTCCCATAGCCAGGCCCATGTCACCCTCCATCTGCCAGAGTCCAGAGCAGAAACCCCACTCTGGGTCTGGTGGAACTTAGCTCCTGTTTGGGAATCCGAGCACATGTGGGACCTGGGCTTCTGGGAGAGAGCTTGGGTAGCAGGGCCTCTGGGCAGTCCAACTAGAGGAGCCACAGCCCCGAGGATGGTCTTGCTCTGGGATTTAGGTGACCTGCTGGGGAAGGCCCCAGGAGAGCCAATTATGGAGATAGCAACTAGCCTCTTGTGACCCAAGGAGCAGGGTTGCCCCAGCCTTGCCCACTGAGGGGACAGCCTTTTGGGCAGGGACTTCAGCAGGCTCCCAGGGCTCAGTGAGGCTGTGGGGCCCATGCCTTTGTCTTCTACTGGCCCCTTTCCTTGGCATGCACCGGGGCAGATGGGAGAGCCTCACACGCCCAATTCCTGATCACCAGAGCAGAGCCAGTGACGAGAGCAGGGGATGGAAGGGGTGGGGTCCTCCAGATCTCCGTGGAGAACCCTGGAGCCCTGAGAACAAGGAGCCTTTGTTTCCTCAGAGCAAGGACGGTGGTTCTCCGGGTTCAGACCACTGGCGAGGGTAGACAGGTGAAAGGCAGGGACAATTCCCCTTGGGGGTCTGGAGACGGGAGCTGCAGCTGAGGGTTGTGAGGGATGGGATGGAGGCCTGGAGACCACGTGAGGCCTGGGCCAGGCTCGGGAGACTCCTCCATGTGCCCCATTTCACCGACCCCTAATGCTTCATTCCTGAGGGTGCCGGGACCCTTCCCACCCCTGGCCAGCTCCAAGGGGCTTTGCTGCGCTCCTGGGGGAAAGCCCCTTGTGCTGCCCTCTGGCTGCCTCCCAGCTGCGCTTGTTCTCCAGCGGAGGTTCTGGAGCCTCATGGACTTGGGGCTGTGCTGTGGGAAGGAGGCTGGGCTGGAGCGAGAAGCCGCCATTGTCTCTGTTCAGCCAAGTGTGCGAGTAGGCTGCCCGCCAAGAGGGGCCCCTGCTGCCCGCCTGCCGGCTGACGCACTGACTCTCCGTCCATCCTGCTGGGCCACCCTCCTCCCTTGCCATGCATGTAGCCAGCCCTGCGGCCTGGAACTCCACAAAGAGGCACTGGCCCTTGGGGTCCGCATGGGGTCTGGCCAGGGACTGGGTCTGTACCATGCACCCAATGGATGTGCAATAAATACAAGCCAATGAAGAAGGAGGTGTGCCTGTGAGTGAGGAAGGGAGAGCCAGGCAGCTGGGGGCACCTGCAGTTTGGCGGCTGTATCCCCCTTTACCCCTGTGTGTGCATGCGTGTCTGTGCATGTGTATAGAGCGCTCTGTGTGTGTTTACGTGTATGCACAAGTCACACAGTTATAGGCTGCCCAAGCTGGAGGGAACCTCAAAATCATATATTCATCCACTCACTCATTCTTCATTTCACAAATAATATTGAACACATTTTATGGGCCAGTACTAGGGGATTCAAAAATGAATTCAACATGTCCCTGACTCCATGAGTTGACAATCCTGCCCACTGGTTCCCAGCTGTCAGTGTAGAGACACACTTTATCTTGCTGAGGAAGCATACTGAAAAGCCACGTTCCCATCCCACACTCAGGGATCTGCTTCAGTAGGCCTGGGAAAGGGATGAACGTAAATGTTTAAAGCTCTTTGGGTAACTGGTGGGTAATAGTGGTTAGCAGCCATAGTTGAGTCCAATTGTCCGGTGGAAACGTAGCCTGAGGTGGACATGACTTGGACTAATGCTTACAAGTAAATGGCCTTATGTGGGTTTGTCTGCATGGGTGTGTGACACTTCGATGCTCCTTTGTTAATGCAGAGCTGACACCTCCCTTTCATCTGGGCATGTGAAGCCTCCAGAGCCAGGTGAACTTGGCTGCCTGGCCTCACCTGGTCAATGCTGTCCAGCCACCTCTGCCTGGAGGGTCTCCCAGGCAGGTGGAGACTGGCAGATTGGGCTGCAGTTATGAAGTGTGACCACTGGGGGGCGATCTTACATCTTAGCTCCCGGCGTAGGTGTCCGGCGACAGAGCTATGCTCAAGGAAAGGCAGGAAGTTAGCCTGTGCAACCCTGTCCCATCAACAGAACTGGGACCTTCTGCTACCCAAAGCCATGGTGGCCTAGGCCAGACTCCCACCATCTGGGGACGCCTCTCCCAAGCAAAGGACTGGGACTATGACATCTTCCTGCAGATGAAGAGGAAGAAAGAAACCTGCAGCCTTATGGAGACAGACTATGACCCCCCCCCCCAGGGTTGCTCCAGATGACCTTGCTGAATGCGCCCCCAGCACAGTCCCCTTATGGGACAGATCAAACCACCACAGTCCCGTCTGACCTTCTTTCCACCTCACTCTCTTTTCCCACCTGTGTGGGTCCTTCTCTTTGCGAGCAGGGGATGGACAGAGGTCTCTGGTGAGGGTGATTGAAGTTTGGCTTCGGGTCTAGGGGATCTCAGCCTCCAGGGGCCTGGGCCCGCTGTGAATCAATGGATACCCCTGATGTCACCTCTTCCTGGTCTCTCCTGATCGCTGCTGGGCTTGGCTTTCTGAAGGCATTCATTTGTTGTTTGCCAGGCACCGGGGAAGACTGAAAGATCACTGAAGCCTGGGGCCTGGATCCTTTCCTTCAGAGGTTCAGTCTTCTAGAGAGGGAGACAGATGTGGTGTGTTGGGGTTGAATAGCGCTGGGCTGGAGGGTCAGGGTGAGGGGGCCTGAGGGAAACTGGGTAGTAAGGGTGGGTGGAGGCCAGATCATAAGTGCCTCGGATGTAGTCAAGGACTGTGGCTTTTGTGAGTGTGCACTGTGGTTTTTTAGCAGAATGACAGGCTCAGAGCTTGGGGAGACAGCTTGGGAGTTTTGCTTTAAGGAGACGAAATGACTTGAATAAGTAAGGCCAATGGGTAGGGTCAGAACATGGCCTGGAAATGCACTGTACTACTGGTGCAACTTCTACGTAAATGTAAAATATTTCAAAATGAAAAATGGAAAGTGGGGACAGACAATGGCCTGGAACCTTGGGAAAGTCTGGCCACCACTGGTCCTTCTTGCTCCTTGCACTCCTGCCCCACGTGAAGCTCACAGGCACTTAAGGGGGTCCTGAGTGGCCACTCTCTCTATGGCTCCTCCCTGCTGGCCCCTCTGCCACCACCTACACCATCAGCTTTTCTGGATGCCCATGTCCCCTTGCTGTCTACCTGTGGCTCACACCTTTACCTGTTCCTTTCCTCGTCCCCTGTCCTCTGGAGAAAGAGGTGCTATTTGCATGCCCGAGACTGACCTCCCCCGTGAGCCCCCACCTGCCCCTCTTCTCCTGACTGCTGTGGGCTCTCTCCAGCAGGAGTCCCCTCGGGGTCTTTGGGCCCACTCCCTACCCCTCCATTATCTTGCCTTGTACATGTCTTCTGCTATCACCTTCATGAGGAAAAAGAAAAAGAAAAGCTTGCTTTAGACTCTGTTGCTTCCTGTAGGAGAGACCTGCATCCCTCCTTTCTATGGTGAACTCACGGGATGTGTTGCCTTTGCTGGCTGTTTCCCTCTCTGCCCTGGTTCCCATTCATACCTGGCTCTCACCCACACCTTACAAATTGGCTTCAACCCCACCCCTCCCTGAAATGCCACCCCCAGAGCCACTGATGACCTTTAACTGTCAAACCCAATGTCTTCCCAGCCTTTATCCCCCTCACCTCTCAGTGACTTTTGGCCCTGCTGACCACATGACCTGTCTGACCCTGACACCTCGGACTGCCTGGGATCGAGTCTCAGAGGTGCATTTTCTAGCTGTCTGACCATGGGCCAGTTATTTGACCTCTTGTACTTTGGTTTGTTTCTCCCTCAAATGAGGACAATAACACTACTGACCTCACAGGATCCTCGTGAGGATTAGGTGAAATTATGCAGGTAAACATCTCAGAACAATGCCTGGCGCAGAAGGCAGTCTGGTGAGGTTAGCTATTAGCACACAGCCTCGCTGGACTCACCCCGTGAGCCCTCCCCTCCTTCCCGGGGCTCCAGCTGAGGTTCTGCCCTCAATTTGCCATTCTGGTTTCGTGCTGGGCCACACTCTGCACATGGCTTTCCCTCTGTCTGGAGGTTGCAAGTAACAAATCTTAGATGGGCTTTAGCTGAGAAGGACATTGATTGGCTCTAATAACTGGATAATCTGTGTCCAGGTCAGGTGAAACTTAATCTAGAGCTCCACACTGATCCAGGACCCCATTTCTCTCTTGCTCTTGTGGGGCTCCATCGCCCAGGCATGGTACCAAGATGGCTCCAGTAGCTCCCAAGATCCCGCTTCTTGGGTGCAAATCTAGCAGATTATCTGCTTTCTGGAAATTTCAAACTCAAATCCAGGAATAGAGTCTCCTTGAGCCTCCTGTCTTGGGGCCTGTCCCCTATCTGAGCCAATTGCTAGGGACAGGGGCTTGAGGTAATCAGAGCCCACCTTTGGAGAAGGTGAAGATAAAGCCAATATCACCCAAAAGATGGGGACAGACTGGATCAACTGGTGAGCAATTCTGAATACCATACAAGGAGAGGCTAGGAGGAATGGATGACGGGGAGGAAACCAACTAACATGCAGATGCCCTTTCCTCCACGAAGCCTCCCCTGACCTCCCTCCTCTAGTTCCGTCCTCACGGCAAACTCTTTTTACATTCCTCTGCTCTGCATCCCTTTTCTTTCTTACTTGGGTGACTGCAGGGCTTTCAGGATAGCCTTTGGGAGGTTTCCGAATGTAAGCTTTCAGCCCTGATGTCTGTTCTGAATTTCAGGCCTGGATTCTAATTGTCTGCAAAACGTGGCTCCTCAATAAATCTTGCTGGAGATTGTAAAATATTGTACAGGTGTTACTTATGGCCTGTAAGACTGAACTCGGTGTCATCTCTCCCAAGCTAGTCCTCTCCTGACACCCTGGTTTCTGAATGAATGATTCTGTGATGGTTTGTCGTGTTGCTTTGAAAGATACATAAGAAGATTTGACCCAGATGGGCCTTTGCTTCATCTTTGGTATAAGAGTAG